GAATATTAAGTTCAGTAAGTTGTCACCTCTAGTGACAGTTTGTTCCCAGCCGAAAATGTCCAATGTACCTAAGAGCTTGTCATATCTAACTGGGCCTATAAATAAGCACAGTTGATTTCGGGTAGGTTGAAGCCTCCACATGTGATCTGATGGTAGTATGGCAGAGTGGACACTTGCTTCAGGGCATTAGTGAGCTGAGACTCGTACTCACTAAGGGCGCCGTGTGCTCTGTAAACACATCCTATTAGTATTGTAGCACTTTTGAAGTGTACGTTCACACACAGAGCGCCTTGCACGTCGTCGAGTTCCCCATTTTCTAGCTGCAATACAGCAACTGTGTTCAAGAAGTACATAGGGCAGACTCCTTCCTTGTCACTGTTCCTGTCACATCGGAAGAGCGTGTACCCATTGATGCTTATCTCTTCGCCTGGTATATTAAAGTGACACCAAGATTCAAAATTAATAGTTATTGGGGAGAATACATTACCAGTGTGTGTCCAATGAGCACAGGCGGACTATTAAAGATTGATCACGCATTATTAAGGATTGGGTGAAGATGAGAGTTGACATGATGCCTGAGGTGTTTGAGCTCGTTAATCCGGCTCAATTGTGGTTCAGCCTCCATTAGTTCTGCATGGCATGATGTCCCTGTGATACAATTGTTATCAATGTTGGGTTCGTCCATGTCCATCGAGTTACTGTCTGCTTCTTTAAGTAAATAATGTGTTGTATATCGGATTCACTGTAGGATAAGATAGTCCTAGACTTAGGTTGGAGACGTGGGTATGAGTTCTTATTTAGCCTATGTTTGTACAAGCGTCGACAAATATTTCTGTTGGTCCTTAGTGATTCACCAAATTAGTAGGACTTCACTGATCGATCAGTTTGATGGAACTTAGCCTTACGGAGGCACCGCCTTGAAATAAGTGTAGTATAAATCCATTAGGACTAAGTCTGCATTAACCAGGATGACTAAATATCCAACAAACTTCTTGATGATACCAGAGTCTGTTTAAGTTGTAACTTGACTGACACGCTATCGAGAAGCCACTGTGGTGAGAAAATGAGAACAAAGGCTTTGCGTAGGTGGATACAGTTAACATATGGATGATCTGCCACAGCCACAAAGAGATGCAAGGTTTACTTTCTGTGAGAAACAACCATTCAAAAGACTGTATTTTCTACTAACAATAATCTACAATAATGTACATTAAAATCTATAAATATGCGTTGATTTTCCTTAATAAACGATCTTTTGCCTGGCCCTTGTCTTCTGTTTTTACACCACTACTACTTTTTCCACATTTCCTTCTTGTCAGGTGTTGGGACCCCGGCCGGGACAAAATATTCAGCTACCGCTAAAACTCACGCATGTAAGTATTATTTCTTATGGGTCTATAAAATGACTTTAGTTAGTCGGGTATTTTGTATCCTACATTCTTCCAGTGCGTGACCGCGAAAACACTAAAAAAGTATTTTTGCCTTGTAAAACTTTACAGCAAATAGTGCAGGCTTTGCCTGTTTCACTGGACTGATAAACCAAGGGAAGTTGTTTATCAACAACGCTGTTGCGTACTACTGGCTTTTTTTGTCGGTTTTCTTGTTTGCTAAGGACACATTTGTCTCCTCCTCTCGAATTCAGCCCCAGGATATGCATTGTGTCTCAGATGCCAGTCTTGTTATTCTTAGTCTACCTTGAGAACATATTCGGGTGCAAATTGTAGAAGCACAACTGGTTCAGTGAATAGCTTGTGCACATTATAATCATTACTACATCTCCCATAGACGCAAACATAGTAAAAATGCATCTCCTACATTTCGCCATTCCTTTAAGATGTTCCTTGGCAAACATACCAATTTACTTTTAAGTTGCTGTATAAACAGCTAAATGAAATCCCTGCATCTTATGTTTGCCATTTGTCGGAAACAGCATTGTTAAAATAGTGTCATATCTCCCAATTAATGTCTCAAACTAGGCATTCAGTGTAAAAGATGTGTGGTGACTCTCTTTAATCATTCGAAATTCGCGTCCGGGAAATAACGGTAAACTAACTCCTTTATGCATACTCACGCTATTACTGCCAACTGGGATCTATTAACTTTGAGAGTACAATTGGTCGTGTTCACTTTCAGGCTTTCAAGCATTATCCTGCGAGATTAAGGAAGGAACGAAGGGTGTAAGAGTTCACTGTCTCAGCACTCGTAAAGACAGTGATCATAAAATCGAAGTTAGTGAACACTTAAAGTTGTCTACCTTATTTCGACCATTTTTAATTTCAACTTACGAGTTCGTCTTGTACATACAAACGAAGCAATTAGAACCATCCCGAAGATACTCAAGGTACGTGCCCGTAAAAATTCGTAAATCTGCCTCCCTTTCCTTGTCCTCGTTCGTCCAAGCTATTCATAAGTTGTTGTTGTTGTCCAGACAGTCTATAGCTTTTTTAAATCCCCGATTATCCGGTAAATTGTGGACTATCACACTTAGTTTTGCATCTAGTCTTTCAATGAAACCTGTTGTGACGATGTTGATCAGGATAACTACCTTGGTTACCCATTGTGTGTCAAGTTCGGCTGGGTGTATGATTCTGGTTAGGGTTCTCAAAGGTGTGAGTTCAGAGGGCTGCAATTCTGCGTCACTTATCTGTGCTGATAGTTCAGAAGTTTTGGCGAAGTTTTCCGAACATCCTGTGTTCATAGCCTTACTACACCCTATTTCCAGCATCTCAGTCTTCAGTTCTTCGTTAGGCAGCTTCAGTCGTTCTATTTCTGGAGTAAGTGTTGAAGTTGGATTTGGCGTCTGAATTTTGACGATAACTACGAACAAGGCTACTGATTGTTGGCAGCATATTTGGAACAAACCCATGATGGAATTTCAGTAAGGAGCCACACTCGTCCTCTCTGAAATGGTACATAGTGACACAATGGAAGACTTAGCAACCGGTAGTTAAACCAGTTCATATCTGGGCTAATCAGAAATGATATTTCCATGCAATCTATGGGCTTAGAGATTGCATCTGTTGCTTGTTTTACCTCTACGTATAATTTCAGTTAAAAAAATCTTTCAAGACAAAAGCCCGCAAACAAACAAGAAGTGGCGTCGGTATAATGCCTACCCGACATGATAAATGAAACAAATCGGACACGAACAAAGTATAAGAAAACAAGACAAAATTTACCACAACCTCATTTAGATAAATGAAAGATTTACTAGCCACCGCCTATGACTTAAAGCATACCACTCTAAAATGAATACGTTGATGTTCTGCATATAATTACTCGGAACTACAGATATCCAAATTTTTTCCTTAAAAAGCACAGAAACTTTAAATTTCTCCAAATAGAGTATATACTAACTGATGGCAGATATCCATCAGTTATTGCAGACAGATTTAAAGGAGGTCTACGCGGAGACTGGGAAAAAGGAGGAAATTCCCGTTTGAAAATGGAAAGAGTGGAGAAAATTTGGTGATTCTCTCGTTGAAGACATCTGAAAGGTGAGTAAATAAGTTGAATATATCTGGTCAAATTGTGGAGAAATGAAAGGGAGAGAGATGTAAAAACTTTGGCAAACTTGGGAAAGAAGATAAAGGGTGGGTGTCAGCATGGTATCAGGAAAAGTTTTCTAATGCAGAAAACAACCATCACGAATTCGAAATAATATTTTACGTATATAATAACAGACTCGATTTCAGCCCAAGCGATACTGAAAGATGAGCGGTAAGTCGAAGATCTAACCAGGCATAAATCAATGTAGCAGCTTAGTTACCCAGAAGCTTGACCATGTGATCACAACTGGTAACTATCAATAGACTGAAATAGCCTACAATTTGCGGCAGTATAATATACACTAATACTTCTGATCGTATTGCTCCAGTCTTCTGTCAACGAGCGAACGTCAAAGCCTCCAACGAACAGGAAAATTGCTCGAACAAACACATTCATTGGGAGTCCACTCAGTTTTCACTATCTTTGACAACAGGAGCTATGATTTCTTTGAATTACTGATACTTCATAGTAGAGGGCATATTTAGGTCTGAGATCTAATGTACTGTGTTCACACCATGTTTTAATCAGAACATTTAGTACTTTGCCAGGCTAGCATAGTACTCCTCCTGCTCTTTTTTTAGTGCTTTAGGGAGAGAACTTATTTCATTTTGGTGGATCGCGGTTTGATGTTGATAGAAAAGTTTCTGCATTTATGTTGTCTATTTCAATACTGATATACTGAACCAGTGAATTCTGTGTTGCCATCAAATTATATTAGAATTCAGCATTGGGTCAAACTTTTAACGGAATAATCACTCCAATCTAATGATTGTTCCCAGAAAATCAGTGACATAGAGATTTACTAACTGATGTGATAGGATCCCGCATAAAATAGCGTGTCATCATTTCCCGCGCATACCGTGATTGATCAATTATTTCAAACAGTGTTAGCCGTCTTTATTGTCGTAAAATGTAAAAATACCATGTGTTGTTTTCGTAATAGTTGTTCTAACAATATACAGTGCCATGCAGCATCTTACAGTCACAGACCAGCCTTTGTCTGTTGATGTTTGCGGGTGTCAGTGAATCGGAAGCAGGTGCAGAAACAGAAAAGTGACTACGGTTCTCATTCAGTTCACTGCAGTTGTAAAATGATGTCATAAAACAGATTTCAGAAAACCTACCCCGCTGAAAATAATTGTGAATCGCCTGCTAGAGAGTGTTATCATCCGCGCCTGTAGTTGCGTATTAAACCACCTTGATTCTTCAGCACAATACACGTTCAGTGATTTAGTGTAATCTAAGGCACCTGAGTGGCGGGACACACTACACAGAGGTTCACCGAAGACAAAGAACTCTTAACTAATACCTGCGAAGTGACCACAAAGAAATCAATTCGGTTTACACTAGCTCGCAGATGAGATATTGGATATTGGAAGAATTGTTTTAATGAATCCGAGATACTACACAGTATGTGACCCGTACAAATTCATGCGTTACGAGGACTTGAGATGCTATGTAAGAGTTCATAGTCATTTTGTGTATGACAACAGGAATTTTATAGGTGCACGATCGGCATGCTTTAAATGTGGGCCATGCAGACCAAAGTGGATGAAAATGGTTGATAATCTTTATTCTGGGAATCTTCAGGTTTGCTATTATTTATTGATGACGTAAAATTAAAGGACACTAATAATCATAATAAGCTTATCCACTATTGCCTACATCAACCAGATAAACTGGATCGGATTGCTAGATACCTACATTTAAGGTTGGCTCAAGATCTTAATCGACGTTATGACCAGTAAGTATTTTAAACACTAATAACAGTCCAGGAACATAACAATATCTGTCAAAGCTATCGACAAGTTGATACAAGTTTGTCATGGACACAGGCTGGTTCTAGCCTTTAGCTTTCTAAAGATGATACAACTCCTGTTAGAGACGAACAGAACAGACCTCCAAATAATGGCATCTAAGTCAGTATGTTATAATCAATATAATAATAATAAAATTGAAGTTCGTGGAGTTTTCCAAAATTGATGATGATGCTCCTAACTATCACAAAGAATGCAACGAGATTTTAGATCACTTCGCTTCCATGGCGCACTCATCACTTAGCAACCTTAAAGAACGCAATGCGTAGGTTGCTCTTACCTTCTACTTACTTTGTTACAGAGTCAGAATGGCAGGTATACATGGAATCCAAGGAGTAGTTAGAAAAATGGTTAGTGATCAACTGCTGTTGGAGGTCCATGAATCAAATATGGATAAAATTATCCCCCCACTTCTGTTTAATATGTGCGAAAAGTAAGATCATTAATGTTTTTGCCTTTATTCATATTTAGTTCGTTATGTACTTTCTGCTCTATTTTAATTTGTTTTTCGTTTGTGCTGGTGACATACTAGTAGGCGATTTGTTCATTTGAGGAGAATTTTGTGCTTGTGTTATGTACATACTGGGTCACTACCCACTTTTAATATTTACCACAGAAGTTGATTTCTATCAATAAGTACCCCTAATACTGTACTTATTCTTAAAGTAAAATACTTGGTTAGCATTGTTCGTTCTGATGGTCGGAATTTACGATGTGCTGTAACTCGAAGACGAATAAAAGTTTGCATCTCGTGTTTTCACTCTATCCGTTCATTTCTTGCAATGATAAATGTAGAAGCTAGAACGAATAGAGCGCCTGTGCTGTGTGTGTATGTGCATACCTATACAAGCACTTTGACTTTACAATCTTATTGATATTCATTTCCTCAGATGATGCATGAGTTTTTAATAGATCCATTAGAAGCTTCCACTGATTTCTTTTATGGAGTCTGTTTTTCAGTAACATTTCAAATCCAGTGCATTATAACTCGAACATTCGTATGCTTTAAAAAAACTTAATTCGGTTGTTTTTAAAGGCATCAAGGAAAGACGCAGTAACGAATTCTCTTTTACTGAAGTTTGATGAGAATATTTTGCGTTTATTTTCATTTACTCTCTAACGTGTATGGGATCTTTATGGCGCAGCAAGTAAAAAATTCTGATCGGAAAGTCTAGTATTTAATTATATCATCATGTATTAGAGGTGAGCTACCGCTGCTGTTCAGAGACGTAGTGCTCAAATCATCTACTTCAGTCTTGAAAAAGGAGATCGAAATATTAAAAATAAGGAACGGTGTTATAACCGAGGCGTATAAATACTTGTGAGCATGAATATCCTAAAGAATGAACAGTATTTATTCTTAACACCTAATTCTACCTTGGTGATTGTATTATCCGTAGTCCTCACTGTCAGGATAGTTACAAGTTCCTAGCTTAGGTAATTTCATAAATCTTTTGCATATCACCGCTACTAATTAAGAAATTCACCGAACAGATGAAATAAGCGGTGTTTGTATTTGATGTGAATAAATTCCCTATATCACTTGTACTATTTAATATCGAAACTTATTATAGTTTTTAGCAGACTCAATCAGCCATATTGCTTATGTACGTACATATCTTGACTTAGCACAATTCTTTGCAAGTTTCGTAAAGATATTTCGAAACGTATAGTATTTATTCCAATTCTTTTGTATTTATTCCGGAATAAAAACTCACGATTTCTCTGAAGGCTATTTATAATACATTCAGTTGACCAAATTTCTCCAGGTAGCTGTAACTCTCTCTCTATATATATGCATATACATATATATGAAGAATTACCACATTGGTTTAATAAACCATAGCTTTTTTAATCATTAAATTGTATTTGGTTGCTTTTGTCTGTATTTCTTAATCAAGTTCACCTGATTAAAACTGGATTCATATTTGATTTTATGAATATAAAATTACCTATCACATTGGGTATGCAATTGTGTACGCAGTCTATCAATCTAAGCTGTTTCATTTCCACATGTTTAACTCTGCGCATATATATATATATATACATACGGGAAATCCGTGAATCATAAGGCAAATTCATGTTACTTGTTCAGCTAGGTCACCTGGTTACTTCATATCCCAAATGAAAATAATATATCTAGTGAAAAGGTTGATGTTTCCGATGCGGTCTTATGCTCTGTGTCTAAAATATTTTACTACTGCGCTTGTAGTATGACAGTTTTGTCACGCGAAACTGTCTACCGAAATCCTTAGATTAGATACACAGCCAGAGTACTCTAGAATTGTATTCATCAGACCATTTGGTGAATTGTTGCCACTTAATCCCTTATATTAGCGTATTTTTAGTTATTGTATCAATAAGTTTCATTTTATTTCACATTAGTTGATTCGTCCACAAGGTAATTGATAAAAAGACGTATTTGTACTCCGTTTCATTTCATTTGACTCCGAGCCTTGACAAAAGTTATACACTCCTGGTATTCTTTTATTGGGAATAAAAATTTTCCCATTCTTAGACATACACTGTCGGCCTTATTTTATTTTACATGAACATAAATGATATATAATGTGTGAAAGCCACCAATATCATCTGGTTAAGTAGTTTGTATTCTCTGCGTACACTTAATGGCTTTTAGTTTCGAATTTTCAAATCAATACACGAAAAACAATTTTTCCTAAACTACTCTTTAATAGATCTTACTAGCAACTGTAGTAAGTCTAGATTTTGTTTATGAGCATAACAGATATTTGGGCAAACTGTATTAGCAGAGTAAATAATTAAAAAATGTTTATGACTTAGTTTTCTTGTCAGTTGACCTCTAAAATCAAACACCAATACTTAGTTCACAGTTGATACATGTGAGAATCACTTTTAACGCGCGAGTGTATCCAAGCAGTCAAGCTCCTAGCCTCACCACTGACAGGGGTGTGGAGAATAGACTTCTTTCAGCTTGCTGATACATCTTGCTGGTAATTACAGGCCTACGGGTTTTTATTGCTTGAATCCGTAAGGATAATACAAAAGGCAAGCATTTTTATCGCAAAGTAGTGTCTTATAGTCATTCGCCACATGTAGTAGCTCACATTACAAATATATGAATCGATTCATTGTGTCCTGGTTTTATAATTTCCGTTCTATTTATGCTCATTTATACCGACCCAGTTAGTTGTTTGTTACAGTTGCAGAAGTAATTTATATCAGAGTTTCCCACTTTGCTGTGCGTTTTCACAATATGTGAGGAAAAATTGTGGTGTGCTTCATAGCCTTGAGTATCTGCTTCTAATCAATTCATCCCTCTCCATCTAATTCAACACCATTTGGGTAAACTCGTACGCAAAACACATGTTCTGGATATTATCTGATTCGGATTCTTTGTCATAAAAGGTATTTTTTTGTTATATGGGCAGGTTTTGTGAGTGTGAGGTGTTCATAACATAATCAGCATAAATATAGTAGAATTACCTTCATTGATTCATATCTAAGCTTTTGCAAATGAAATTTGAAACAGTGGGGAAGAAATAATGGAGAAGATTTCTGGCTCAGGTGGATGTTTTTATTGCTGTGTCCTCTAAGCTGAAAGGTTTACTCGCAAAGCCTTCATCGTCCTTCCTCACGTCTTCAGCGCTGAATTCAAATTGAATTCATTTGATGTATCTGTGCTTCTAATCATAGATTATCTTTGCTTTAAAAAAGTTCTATTTGTACACCTCAGTAATCTTTTCGGCCTTAGTGATAACGGCGAATAGCTTAAATGTGACCATTATTATCTATTTTGCATACTTTTGTAATTAGTTCATCAGCCATGTTATAATTATTCACCAACTGAGATAGCTGTAACATGTAATACGCATACTAATTCAGTTGAAAGAAAGAAAAGAGTGGGGAAAAATAAAGGAGGCCTTCAACCCATGGATTTATTCTCTCTGAAGGCGACAAGAATACCTGTTAACCTATGCAAAGCTACATATATATATTAAAGTTATGCATGACGTATTAGTCGTGCTTTACAAGAATACTGGCAAGTCAAAACGTGTGGGTTGGAAATCAGACAAGGTCACCTCCTTGGGCAAATGTGCAATAAAATTGAGTAAAATGTGACGGTGAATACCATTAGTCTCATTTACTTCAGAACGAAATGACTTGTACTTTTTAGATATCTGTGTGAATTAGGGTAAATTGTTTTTTCTTCACAACGAGACACTGTCACAACAGTCCCCGGCGGACAGTCAAATTTAGAAGCATGGCACTAGTCGACACCGTTATTTCTATGTCTTCTTGAATCCGCTCAAGGATGAGAACTTAATCAATATGTTGTGTCATCAGCTGAAGACATGAGTTTCCCCAGGTTTGATTTACTTCAACTGTACTGAGTTTTCGTTTAACAACGGCACCGAGGACCTTATGACATTTGATCAAAGTAATTACTGTGTGGTTGTCACGGGAAGGTTTGTTGTGTTTACTCAACGCAATGTCGAGCAATTATCTAGTCCCCATTGACCACCTAAACCATTATTCTTAGCATTCGTACATCCACACAATATATCCAAGCGGCCGGATGATAATTACGTTAGTGTATTGGGCCCTACACTTTTCATAATATACGTAAACAACCCTAGCAATGCTTTAGCATAATCAAACCACTAATATATGCAGATGACGTGAAGGTGACCCAGGCATGCAAGAACACAAATCCCGGTAGGACTGTAATCTCTATACAAGAATTGATAAATATGGATAGATGGTGTGACTCCTTTGGGCTCCAGTTTAATACCTAAAAGCGCGGCTGGTTCTGCACAGACTGTCCCAGCCTAGAGCTTGACCTAGTAGTTCTAGGCCATAAAATTCCCAGACTCAAATCTGTGCTAGACATAGGAATGAAATATTCACATGACCCATCAATTTCAAAGCATATTTCGGAACAAGTATTG